GGGTCTCTCCTCCTCTCCTCCAGCTTTAGCAGTTCTAGATTGGCAGTCTTTACTTTTTAATAGTTGTAAATTGGTTACTTGTGGAAGGCTGCAGTGCTGGGCATTGTCTATTCTGCCGTCTTGATGATGTCACTTGACAGAACACCTTATTTTGTTTTTTAGTGGTTGTTCTAGGGTTTAAAACATGCAATAACAATGTGGTATAGAATTCGGAATATATAAAAAAAGAAAATGTACGACAATAAGAGTACAAAAGCCAGGTAGGAGAAATAGAAATACACTGTTGTAAGGTTCTTGTTCTATATGCGAAGTGTTATAATACTTCTTGAAAGTAGATTGTGATGTAGTTGGCTGGATATAGGTACTAGTATAGAAAATCTACAAGGAACCCACACTAAACACCATATTTACTTACTAATGAAATTTTGAAAGCATTTCTTTCAGTAAAGAAGAGGATAAGGGTATTTGCTATTACCACTTTTTAATATTATGCTGGAAGTCAATATAGTCAGCAAGGCAAGATAAATAATTGTTGTAAGTACTAGAGAGGAAGAAACAGACTTATGTGTGCAGATGTCATTGTCAACGTATATGATCCCCCCAAAATACTAATTTATTATTAGAATTTATAAGAGAGTGAAGGAAGTTTCGTGGGCACAAAATCATTTTATAAAAATTAGTTCCTGTAATATACATTTGTAATTAACAATTCAAGATGATACTTAAGTTATATATAATAACATCAAAAATATAAAATACCTAATTAAATATGTGCAAAGCCTTTGTGGAATAAATTATCAAATTTTATTAATAAACATGAACGAAGATTCTTCAAAATGAAGGAATAATACAGGAGTATGCCATGTTCGTGAATTGCATTGAAGATTGTCAAAGTGTCAATTCTCCTCAGTATACATATAGGATAAAAAAAAATTCATTTAAAATCCTAATGTTTTTTTAAATTGAGGTGAAATTCACATGACATAAAATTTAAAGGGTAAAATTCAGTGGCATTTAGTACATTCACAATGTTGTGCAACATCACCTCTATCGACTCCAAAAGAAACTCTATGCACATTAAGCAGCTAGTTCCTATTTCCCCCTTCCCTAAGCCATGACAACCACTGATTTGCTTTCTGTCTCCATGAGTTTACCTGTTTTGGATATTTCATATGAACATAATTGTACAATATGTGACCTTTTGTGTCTGGCTTTTGCTTAGTATGTCTTCAATGTTCTATTATATAAAAAAATTTATGGGCCGGCCCAGTGGCGCAGTGCTACAGTGCGTCGCTTGGGAGCGCGGCGGCACTCCCACCGAGGGTTCGGATCCCAGATACAGACCGGTTCCCGCTCACTGGCTGAGCGAGGTGCGGGCGCAGCGCCGAGGGTTGCGATTCCGTTGCTGGTCCCGGTCCGTTACGGGCGCGACACTGAGGGTTGCGATCCGTTGCCGGACACGAAAAAAAAAAAAAAAAGACAACAACAACAAAAAATTTATGAGAGGGGCAAGGGAAATTTCAAATAGGGGAAAAATGTGGATCACATTTAAGTGACAAAGGATTATCCAGATTATGTAGATGATGTCTATCTATCAATAATAAAAGATAAACAAATCACTATAAAATAAAGAGGCGTTTTACGGAGGAGGAAACACAAATAGCCCATAAATATATCAACATGTATTCTACACTTTTAGTCTTTTTTAATAACCAAGGAATGCATGTTAAATTAATATAAAAAAATATTTATTGGCTTGAAAGCAAGGTTTTATAAAACCCTTCCACTGAGTATACATTTCCTTCCAGTACTGCTCTATATATCTCTACTTTTTTTCAAACGGTCCTCCTGAAAAAATATCTTATATGTTTATTTTGCTCACTTCCTATCCATTTATTCATACTTCAGTCTGGCTTCTGCTCCCAAAGTCCATTGAACTAGCCCTGTAAGGATAGTAATGACCACCCATGCTGTTAATTCATGTACATCTTTCTTTACACCTCAGCAAATTCGACATTGTGGACCATTTGAAATAATCTTCTCTTGGTTTCTGTGACACAATATGCCTATCTGAAATACTAGTTTCATATTGTCATTATTTTGTTTTTCTTTATACATTATGCCATCTTCTCTTTAGGAAGCTTTTCATAACAGCTGAATTAGACTCCAACCCCACTAACAACAATTTTTTAGAGTGGAGTATTTGCTGGTTACTTTGCTTATAGTTTTTTCTTGTGTTTACTTTTCTTGGGATTACTTTTTGTTTTGCTGTGTTAGAATGTGTGATGAAATAATTTCTAAATCTCAGAATTTCTTAAAATAGTTTCATTTTACCTTCATGCTTAATTGGTAATGTTTTTAAGTTTAGAATGGAGGTTTAATATTTTCCTCAGAAACTTTATAGACATTGTGCCATAGTTTCTCACAGTATTTTCTCTGTTTAGTGTTGTATCTTTACTGTTGATTTTCCCAATGTCTGATCAATTTTCATTTTCCAATTGTTTTTCTCAATAGTATTCTAGATTTAGCAATATCAGTAACTGATGATTTAGGTTTTCTTAGTAGTTGAGAAAGCCATTGTTCTCCTAGTTGTTAATGGTTTAAATAATTGTAGAACTGAAGCTACAATGGGTGGTTGAATTGATATATGCTAATGTTTCCTATCAGATTCCAAGGCAGGAAGGGAGTTTTTGAGAACGTTTGAATCTCTGTTGATAGTGAGAGAATGATGTTATTTCAAGGTAATGTGCCTTAGTGGACATTACTTTCTAAACCCTTATATCACTGAAAATACTTTTCTTCAGACATAGATATTAATTTGCTTTGGTATGTTTTTCTAGAGGTTCTAAGCCCATTTTGCTTAAATCTATGCTTTCTTATTATTTAGCTTAGTGATCCTGAAACTGTAGCATGCAAAGAAATCACCTGGAGGTATACTTCATTTTTATTTTATTATTTTATTTATTTTATTATTTTTAAAAATTTATTTATTTATTGAATCAAAATCGATTATACATATTTTGGGGGTTGAACATTGAGATATGTTGATCAAATCAATATTACTAGCATATATATGTTGCAAATCATAATTATTCTTTTTTTTTTTTTAAGATGACTTTTAAGGGGATCTCAACTCTTGGCTTGGTGTTGTCAGCACCATGCTCAGCCAGTGAGCCAACTGGCCATCCCTACATAGGATCCAAACCCGTGGCCTTGGTGTTATCAGTACCACACTCTCCCGAGTGGGCTACAGGCCAGCCCACAAATCATAGTTATTCTTTATGCCCCTCGTCCAATCTTTCCCCTTCCCCTATTCCCTCCCCCACTCTAATTACCCTAAATTTCTTCTCCCCTTCTGAAAGAATAATGGTTACTTTGTTAATTTGTTGCCTAGATGATCTGTCCAATCCTGAGAGATGTGATCGGGTCCCCCAATATTATCATAGAGCAGATGCTTCTTCTGTCACTCTGAAATGGGCTTTGTGGAAAGAGACATCCTCTTCTTTTCTTTGTCTCTGCTGGTGACTCTCCTTGTGTGAATGCACTCCAGTGGTTGGCAGACCATCTTCGTGGTGGTTGTGGTGTCTAGTCGCTTTCGTGACAGCCATGGTTATTGTGGAGGCTGTGGTGGGCCACCTACACGGAGGTGCTGTTTTTGGTATGCTCCTTGGCACTGGCGGTGTGCCTGGTTGTGAGGTGTGTCTGGTCCCCTTCTCCATGCCCCGGGTCTCTGGGCAGGCCCTGAGGCACTGGTGTGGCGTGCCTGGTTGTGGGAGGAGAGTCCGGTCCCCTTCCCTGGAGGTATACTTCTGATTCAGTAAGCTGGGGTGAGGCCCAAGAGTTTGCACTACTAATCAGTTTGCTTGTAGGTGGTGCTGATACTGTTGATTATGGGACCACAGTTTTTGAACCACTAATCTTAAGTATTGCAGAAGAGAAATTTTAGACTAGCTTAATTTTTGTTCAGTTGTAAGCAATTATTTTCCTTCCTGAATGTATGTAGTAATATTTTTCTTTAATAATGTAATTCAAAACTTTTACCCAGATATGATAGGGCTGGATTTTTTTGTGTGTGGCAAATGTAATCATTTTAATATTACATTTTTAAGTGGTAAATATTGACATTTTGAACTATATACAGATGCTCCTTAACTTACAATGGGGTTATGTCCTGATAAATCCATTAAGTTGAAAATATCATGTCGAAAATGCTTTTAACCTACTGAACATCATAACTTAGCCTAGCTTATCTTAAGTATGCTCAGAACACTTACATTAGTCTATAGTTGGGCAAAATAATCTAACACAAAGCCTATTTTATAATAAAGTGTTGAATATCACATGTAATTTATTGAATACTGTACTGAAAGTGAAAAACAGAATGGTCGTGTGGGTATTAGAAGTATGGTTTCTACTGAATGCCTATCACTTTCACACCATAAGTTGTAAGTTGAACCAAGTTAAGTTGGGAACCATCTGTAATTGTTTTTTGTGTATTTTTCAGTTTCTCTCACAGTCTCTTAAATCAGTTCTTTGCATTTCCATTATAAATATCAAATAGTAGTATGATATTTTATATCTTGATTTTATGGGTCCTTTAGCAGGAACAATGTTGTATTGAATTGGTAGTATTGGGAAAGTAATGCTTTTTTATTGTATTTGCTGCTATATGAAAAGAAATATAATGCTCTCTGAGAGGAATTTAAAATTTATTCCTTACATATATTAAGAAAAAATATAAAATGATTTATGTGAATTATTTGAGGGTCTCCTAATACATATCTAGAAGGGTAGAAATTTATTTTTTTTATTCTAGAACTACTTTGTGCAAAATGAACTAAAAACACTTGATTTTGAACTATAAATTTATAGTTATAGTTTAGCAATTAGTGCATTTTTGTGATTGAAAATTGCAAAAGGCTTGAACTAAATAATATATCATACCATACATTGTGAAGATCTCTATTGCAAAATGTATTAATTAAAATTTTATTTTCCAGATTTTGGAATCTCTTTTTAAGGTATGTTCAATATATTGCAGCTTAAGCCTACTAAAACTTTATACAGAAATACATGTAAATGAAGAAGAAGTTTTTGAGGGATTAAAAGAATTCCCAAACTTGCTGATATATATGTTTAAAAATTTTACGTTCAGTTGTATGTTGCATTAACCCTATTGTGAACCCTAAGCAGTGTCTGGGTCAGGATTGATATTTGATAGATGAAGATTCAAAGACACACATATATGTACACATTTATTTTACTGTAGAGATTTAGTTTGTCATTATTTCTTTTTTGTTCCTTTTTTTTAAAAGTGGTTTCAGCGGCAGGTCAATCAGATGGAGGAGGTAAGTATAACATTTCTTAATTGTTAAATGAATTAATATTTTAACTCATTTGAAAACCAATTTAAAGTAGTGTAAGTTAAAAATTTTTGAGTAACCATTGATTACAAAGCAATCTTTTGATTTAGGTAGAGTAGGAATAAGTGGATAGAATAAATTGTTTCTCATTGATTTACACATTATATTTCTGCATATATTTGTTATACTCCACGTTTGACTGACACATTCTTTTTCTTAAAATTGAATAATAGCAATTGAATTATCATTTTTTCCTAATTTATGTAAGAAAGTGATAAGAGAAAATTTATCAATTAAAAAATTTCTCCTATATTTAAAAAATCATGCATAATATGATATACAAGTATGTGTAGACATAAAATTATATACTTCTAAATTTAATACGTAATTTAATGATATTCTTTTGTAATTTTGATTTGCAGGTACTTTACCACGAGTTTGAGAACTACTGGTGTCTGTCCCTGGGGGCTTTTAATTCTATTTTGGAAAAGACATTATATATACTGTAATATAGCAGAATGATTTTTCAGGGTAGTTTTAGTGATTTACAGAATTATTCTAGTTTTCCCTTTGTCATGCTGTGGTTCAGTCCAATCCAACAGTCTTGAAACCCAGTCTCTCTTTTTTTCTTTTCTTTTTTTAAAATAACTTTTATTTATTATTATTACTTTTTGCAATGTAATCATTTTTTGTGGCCCTTTGCCAATTTCTCACTAACCCTCCCTCCCCTTCCAGTCTCTTTAAAGAAAAGAGGTTCGTTTATTTGAAATATGAAATTGAAGAGTAAAGATACAAACTGTAAATATCTCCTAGTCCCTTCTCATAATTTTACCTCTGGGCCCAGAGTAGAAGACTTTCATGGTCTGTATACTCTGTTATAGGATAGATAAGGCTGACACTGGAAAAGTGTGTTAGCAGTTCTTCTTCGACTATGGCATATGGTCATTATTTTTCCAGAGGAGTAGGCTTTGGGTGAAGTTCACTATTCCTCTTCCCTCTTGTAATGTGTACTTTCTTTGCAACTTGAAAAATTCAGCTTGTATTCTCCCATCTTATTTTCATCTATCAACATCTTTTTATCCTGTTTTATACATAGATGTGCCTTACTCTCTTCTTCTTGCACTCAGTTCAGTCAGTGTACAGACCTGTCTTTTCAGTTCCTTGACTTCCTCATCTCCAGTCGTTTTACTAATGTTTCTATTCAGCTGGAGACAAGCACTTCGTCACAGTGAACTTCTTAGCTTCCTAATCTCCCTTACCTTTTTCTCTTTTCTTTGCATCTAACAAAACTTAACCCTGAGTAGATTCAGTTGTTAATTTTCTTTGAGCCTATAGCTTAGCTGTGAAACACTGCTGAAGAAAATGACACGGTAGGTCAGACACAATTACTCCAAATACTGCCTGGCATTATTGTACTTCTGAAATGATTTTTAACCCTTGGCAGTCATCCTCTAAAACCCACTCCCTCTGTCCCATTTTTTGTTTTCACTCTCAGCCAATCATTTGGAATACTCTAAATATAAGTCGTTGGTTAGAATTTCTTAAATTCTCACTACCAAATAAAATATTTCCATTCATACTCATTTTATCTTCCTTTCCTCCTAGTAAGACAGTGACATTGTTTCTCCTTATACATAAGACTAATTCTTTCACTTCTGTTTTGAATCCCATGTTCTCTTGCCTTCTCAAAAACTTCGATTAATAATTATCTCCCGCATATTCAAGTTCTCCATTCAGTTCTGTCCTTCCTTTCAGTTTTTAAATGTGCTCATCTATCTCTCATTTGATGCCAGTTCACCTCCAGTTATAGGCCTATTTATCTTCTCTTCATGAACAATTTTTAAAAATTATTTTGTATGTAAGTTCACTTACCTCAGGGAAACTGCCATTAGATTACTGTCAGGAAATAAAGGCAAAAAAGATTTATAAGTGAGTGGAGAGAAAAACACTGCAGACAGTCTTTGAATAATAAAACCAGTTGGCTTTTTAAAAAAGTGTTATTCAACTGATAAACAGCATCTAGTGAAGAGTTAATCTGGACATTCTCCTCTTGTAAAAGTCAAGTAGGGGTATCAAGTAAAACAATTTGAATTATTTATGGATTTTCTATAAAACCTTGGGTTTAACTGTGGAACATGTCAAAAGTTTAGAACGAAATTTATTTGTGTATCAATGAACTATGTACTTGTTCTTATTTCCTAAGCATTTCTCAGTCTACGCAACTGGACTCTGTCATCACAAGAAAGAAAATATTCTATGCATATGGTTCCCAGTAATTTATGTTGTTTAATTTCAACAAACATTTTTCTTTACTTCAGTCAGAGTTAACAGTACTGATCACTTCTTCATTTTTGAAACACCATTCCATTGGCTTCTATGAATTATGCTCTCCTGGCTATTGTTTCACCTCCTTGGCTGTCTCCTTTTCAGCATCACCCCCTTTACCCAACCAGTAAATGTTTCATTACTCAAGATTTCATCCTATGCCTTTCTTTTCTTGTTTTTTACTCCAAACTTTCTGCCTAGGCAATCTCATCCAGTTTTTGCATTCAAGTATTACCTTTATGCTGGTTATTTAGAAACATATACCACTTGCTTAAAATGGTCTTCTGAATTCTGGACTTGTATACAATCATCTACTAGATTATTCCACCTCAAGTCCAATGGGTCAAAATCAAGAATTTTTTTTTACCCCTATGCTCTTACCTCTTCTAATACTTCCTTTCTCTTATCGAATTGGGTAAATCAGAAATGTGGTAACCATCCTTGACAACTTACTTTCCTCTATCCCTACTATTCAGTCCATCCATGACTTCTCTTGATTTTACTACCTAAATAGCTGTCAAATGTGTCCACTTCTCTATGTATCTACAGTTTACACTGTAGTGCCAATTTCCGTTATCTCCAGTATGCCTAAAATCCCCATTTATGCATTCATAATCCCCAGTAGGAATCCTCATTATGCAACTCTACTTCTGACCTGGAATTCCAAATTTTTCAATGTTTTTTTTTTTTTGCATGTGTTAATAACAGAGGATATTTTATATTCTTGAAACAAATGTTGAAGTACATAATTGAAACATTGAATCCCATGGTTTTTTCCTCTTGTGTTCATTTTCAAAATTTCAGAGTTCTGTGTAGTTTTGCAGTATTTAGTCATACCAGTTTAACGTATTTTACAAATATTTCTTCTTCTTCTTCTTCTTTTTTAAAGCCATAATTGCTTCTCTTGAATATTTTCTTGACTTGGCGTACTGGATACATCGCCTAAGTGTTTGTATTACCTTCTGCCTTTCAAGGAGTGTTTCTTAAAGGGTAGTTGATGGAACATGTTTAAATGTCACCAAAGATACCTGATATAAATTCACATTACTGAATTAGAATGCTTTGGTGTTTGTGGCTTAGGAATCTGCAGCTTTAGAAGGCTCCTTTAGAAGATTTTTATACACACTAGCATTTGAGAATCTTGGAATAATCTTTTTACCACTGACAGATATTAATATCAGTACGTGCTGGTGAGGTTAATACCTGTGGTTATGTTGCACTAACATAGATAGATGTTGAAGCCATCAGAGTGTATAGTGAGCTGCACCAGAGAAATGTAGGATGAATCTGTAGTCTCTACTCTTCAGCATTGTCCTGCTGGAACCTATAACCCATAAGTCTCTTTGATCAAATCTTATAGCTGACAATCTCACTGTCTATTCCATATCCTTTTAGTTCTATGCCATTATCTCTTCTCCTGGAAGAACTTCTGTTTAAATTTAATCTCTATTGGGAAATACAAAGTATTAGTTAGGGTCTAATCAAGGGATAAAAACTACACAGTATTTTGATGAGAGAAAGTTTAATATAAAGAATTATAAAGGCAATATTTATAAAATGGTAAAGGCAATTCTAAAGAATATAGGAATACAAAATATAGGGAGCAGCCTCTACCTCTTGGGTGAAAGCAGGTCACTCAAGGAAGGAACAAATCTGAATACTCCCAAGCCTCCTGTTCTCCCAACCCAGGGCTAACTAAACATCCAGACTTTCTGAAGAAGGAGCATCTGTCATCACTGGATGGCAGAGAAGTTTGCTGGGGTGCCACATTGGTGGAACTTGAACTCTCTGGGAAGCTACCCATAATGACCAGGAAGCTACCCTCTGTGGTACTAGGCATCTTCCAGGGAGGTGATGGACCTTTTGCTGGGAAGCTATCCACAAGGTGGTATGCTGGAATGCTTCTCAAAGGGAGGTCTGCACCGATGGATTTTGCTGAGAAGTTTTGGGGCAAGCTGTCCATGGGAGTGTGCCATGCCAGGAACTTTGCATGGAAGCCATCCATGGGAGTGGTGCTGTTGAAACTTGCTGGGGGCGAGCATGACTGAGTATACTGTGCACTGCCCTGTAGTAAGAAGAAAGAGATGACAGAACTAGGAAGAAAAGTTTCTTCCTCCTCTGGTGCCGCTACAGGACCTTTACCAACAAAGCTTAATATCATTCCACTGGTCAAGGAAGAAATATTCCACTATCACAAGCAAGACTATGAAAAAATGGATTTTTGAGATAAGAGGCAATAAATTAATAACTGTACTTGATTGGTACATTACTTTTTAGACTCTATGATTGGTGGCCTCTTCTTTGGGATCTTGCCTTTGTCCATTGAGTTTACATAGGTCTCCTGCTTCCCTTCCACCTGTCTGCATCTTTTCCACATCTTTCCTATACCTAATCTCAGACTTCCAGTACATTGCCAAGCATTACTTTCTGGTTTTATATCCTAATCCAATTCCAGGAGTCATTACTAAAATGAAGACTCGGTTCTAAATTCCCAATGCTAGGATTTCTCTTTTCTTGGTCCTAGGACTATGTCTTGACTTCGTTTTTTCTTCTTCCAGCTTTCTCTCCAATCATGAGGATTGGAGATACCTACGTGGGAAGATCTCTGCCATTCTCCTGTCAAAACTTCCTTATGCCAATTGCTATTCTTCCTGTTTATGTCTCTACATATCGGCAGTTTCTAGGTGTCTTTCACTGTGGTTTTTGGACACTCATTCTTGCTGAACTTTTTTTCAGTACACCTATTACTTAGAATGCTAATTATGGTGTGTTATTGTATTCTGTGAACCTTACTGATTCTCCTGACTGCACACTACTTTTTAGCTTGGTGTACTCCAAAGGTCTTGAGACACCAAATGGGTCTCGATCCATAGTCCTTTATATATTAACATCTAGGAGTTAGTAATAGAGGGTATTAGCCTTTGAGAGCAAATTACTGTCTTTTAATAATTTATCACTGTAAGGGTATTCTTACAAAGAATTTAGAGGAAGCAATTATTTTAGAATTACTCTTGTAAATATTTGGGGTTGCATTTGTTGTTATTAAACTTGTTTAAAATTCCTTTCTACTAAAATAATAAACAGAAGATTAGATTTCAGTTTTGAGATGTGAAAGTCATCATGGGGCTATAATTCTATTAATAGATAATTGCTCATGTAAATGCATTTGTAAAATATTGTATCAGTATTTGTAGCTACAGATAAGAATAATATTATATACATTACTTAGATTTGATGGACGTAATGAAATTTTGGGGGGATATGGAAGTAAGATGGGATTTCCTAAGTAACTGGTTAATTTTATTATTTTAGATAAGTAAAGATCAAACTCTTTTAGAAGCAGAGCTTCCAGTACCTGATAAAACAGTCACTTTAAGCACTTCACAAATAGTAAGATGTGTGCAAAAACTTGAAGAACTGAGAAATCGCTTTAAACAGAAGTCTGCATACTCCTTGAAAGGTGTATTGTCTATACCCTTGTAAGTGAAATAAAAGAACTAATTAAATTTAAAACAATAAGAGAGGGTATATAATTAGCATGGAATATTGATAATGGGTCAGCTTCTAAATCAAATGAGAAGGTCTATTAATCTTTCTCTTGTTTGAAGTTTTTAATAGTCTGCGATGGCCCTGTCCAATGAAGTAGTCACTAGCTACATGTGACGATTAAAATTCAGTTCAACTAGGGCCGAGCCCGTGGCGCACTCGGGAGAGTGCAGCGCTTGGAGCGCAGCGATGCTCCCCCCTCGGGTTCGGATCCTATATAGGAATGGCCGGTGTGCTCACTGGCTGAGCGTGGTGTGGGTGACACCACACCAAGGGTTGTGATCCCCTTACCAGTCACGAAAAAGACAAAATAAAAAATTCAGTTCAACTAAAACTTACTTTTTTGGGGTCACATTAGCCATATTTCAAGTGCTTAGTAGCCACACATGGCTATTATTAGAAAGTTCTATTACACATTGCTGGCTTTGAAATATCTGGGCTATAAACTCTTCTTTCAGTTTGATCAGGTAGCTTCCAGTAATAAATAGGAAACTATTTAAGGTCTAATTAAATATTTCATTGTTCATGAACATCTTCATTAAAAATTGTGTAGTCAACTTATCTAAGTAAAAATTTTAAACAATCATGTTTTTGCATTAAACATACACAAAACTTTTATTTTTCAGAGTTAAAATAGAGAATACCCATAATTGGTAGGGACTACTATTGATCATGCAGTTACATTATTGATATCGTTATCTGTCAGTGACTAGACTTAAAGGAATGAAGAGTGGTACTTGAGTTGGCTCCCGTGGGGGTTGCTTAACTAGATCCTTGGTTCAGAGGTTCAGGTATATTCATTTGAGCTGTTTATTATGAGGCATCAAATTAGTTTCAGGTCATATGTTAATATTAATACTTGGCATTTAAGTGTCTGAAGTATGTTAGGTATTTTTTAGCAACTTTACATGTATAATCTCCTTTGATCCTCATAATTTCTTCCTGAGAAAGGTACTATTATATCCTGATTTTAATAGATTAAGAAACTGAAGCTCAGAGAGGTGGGGTGACTTATCTGAGGGCTTATAATTAATTGGTGGATAAAGCAGGTTTTGGGCCAGGTAGTCTAACTCAAGACCTTGTGTCCTTAATCATCACATCATTGATAGCAATACATTGGCAAAAAGAAATCTTACTTTTCTACCCAATTTATTTTTGCTATTTTTGTTGTTAATATTGCTGGTAAATCTAATTATATTCATGGAATACATGGAATTAGTAGAATTACATAGTTTGGCTTTTATATTTACTCTTTTCTATAAGGATGTTTCAGTCAATGACAGACTGAATAAATATGATGGTGGTTGCATAAGATTATGATATTGTATTTTTACTATACCTTTTCTATGTTTAGATATATTTATATATGTGAATACTTAACATTGTGTTACAATTGCCTACAGTATTCAGTACAACAACATGCTATACAGGTTTATGGCCTAGGGAGTAGGCGATGCCATATAGTCTACGTGTGTACTGTCTAGGTTTGGGTAAGTACACTCTAAGAAATTCACACAGTGACAAAATTGCTAATGAAACATTTCTCAGAATGTATCCCTGTTGTTAAGTGACATATGACTGTACTTAATTTACCTTAGTGTCTGTACATAAAGGTTAAATAATATGTTAATTTTTATTTTACAAACTTCATATGTCTAATTTGTACATTCTAGTTCTTATTTAAGTATAATTTAAATACTTATTTTTTGATATATTAAAACATGTTTTACCTATTGAAACTTTAACAGGGATAAAGAAAATCCACCAAAAGCAGTGAAAAGTTATGAAACTGTAGAGCAGAAAATTGAAGGTGATAATATTTTATACATGTTTAGCCTTTATAGGTTTTCCTAAGTGTATTATCATTTTGAGATTTATGGTGTGAAAATTTACAGTTATAAAATTATACAGCGGTAAATTTAAATAATATTCAATAATGAGTTTGATAGTTCAGTAAAAGTTTTTATGTTGCAGATTCTGGGAATGTACACAATGAATACAAATTGGTTGTTACCCCCATGAAATTAAGAGCTTAGTGAGGACACAAGCACATTATATACCATTTCAGTATAGTGTAATGCATGATAAAGGTATGTGTGACTTGCAGCAGGTCCACAAAAAGGAGCAATTTGTTCAACCTGGGAAAATTAGGAAGATTTTATTCAATCTTAAAGGACAGATAGGATTTAGTCAAGTGAAGAAGAAAGATATTTAGCATTTTAAGAATATGATAATAACATGAACAAACAGCATGAATAGGAAATTACAACTGGATTCATATTAGAGTGTGAAGTAATAGATAGGGATAAGGTAGGAGAGAGCCTAGTCATAGATTGGATGCTGTGTTAAGGGGTTTGAAGTTTTTCATATATAATTGGGATCATTGAAGATTTTTCATCAATAAGTGACATTTTTTGTTAGATTTAATTTTAGAGATATTATTCTTGTCATATTGTAGAAGCTAGATTTAGGGACTGAGAGTAGGAAAGGGAAGTTATTACTTTATCTTAGAGGTGTGAAAAGTACCTATATTAGAGCACTAGTAAAAGAGAAGAAAAGGGACAGTTTTGAGAAATACTTACTTGATAGAATTGGCAAAATTTGGTGATTGGATATGAAAGGAAGGGAGATTAGATGACGTTGGTACCATCAACTAACATAAGAGAATGTAAGAGGAAAAGCAAGTTTTGATGAGAAAATGATGTGTTTGTAATCAGTTGTTACGTACATTCTTTCATTTGTTGCCTGATTGGGAGAATCCACAGTGTTGGCAGCTATTATTTTTTCATAGAGTTTTCTTTCCCTTGAATGAGTTATTAAAATAAAAAATATAAAATTTAAATCTGATTAGTATGTATAATTGCTATTTGAAATTTATGATGACAAATTATTTAAATTATTCCAGAATTCTTAAAAACCCACTCAACTAAGGAATCTATAGATGCTTCTGCAACTGAACCAGGTAAGTTTCCACTCATTTAAGCATCATTATGTTAATGACCTCTGTTGGGTAAATTAATTTTTATAATTTAAAATAATAATTATTAGGGTAACAATACAGATTCCCTGGAGTTTAGAGCCATGTAGTTGAGCAAATATTAAAATTCCTAGTTAAGGTTGCATGTTACCAAAACTAGACTCATTTTTAATGGTGCCATGCTAGTAGTTGGAATGGAAAATTTTTATTTGTTGGAAGCTTTAAAAAGAGTTTTGTTCACATAAATGGGAAGGAGAATATGCTCCACAAAATTCTACAGCCAGAATTTCAAAGCATCATTGTTGCCTAATGATGGTTACAGCTTTGCCCTCGGTGAATATATAGTTGGAGTCTTGAAACTGAAAGATATCTTTTGCCTGGATCAAAGCACACATAAAGCCCGATCAAATGGAAAGAAAGAGAAAGATACAGGCGAGTGCCTCAGCATGACAATCAGTGGCCCTCAGGTTTTGCTAATGCCCTAATCAGTTAGAATGTTCTTTTTTTAAAAAACTCTTATATATTTATTTATTTGTTTGTTTTTTATTTTATTTATTTATTTTTTAAATTTTTATTGAATCAAAATTGATTATACATATTTTTGGGGTTCAACATTGAGATATGTTGATCAACTCAATATTACTGGCATATATTGTTACAAATCGTAATTCTTTATGCCCCTTGTCCAAACTCTCCCCTTGCCCCCTCCCTCCTCCTCCCCAATTACCCTAGATTTCTTCTCTCCTTTTGAAAGAATAATGGTTACTCTGTTGATTTGTTGCCTAGATGATATGTCCAGTGCTGAGAGGTATGATCAGGTCCCCAGTATTATCATAGAGCAAATGCTTCTTCTGTCACTATGAAATGGGCTTTGTGGAGAGAGACATCCTCTTCTTTTCTTTATCTCTGCTGATGACTCTCCTTGTGTCAATGCACTCCAGGGGCTGGTGGACCATCTGCATGGTGGTTGTGGCGTCTAGCCACTTTCACGGTGTCTGGTCCCCGTTTCCATATCTAGGGTCCCTGGGCAGGGCCCAAGGTGCTGGTGCAGTGTGCCTGGTTGTTGGAGGGAGGTCTGGTCCCCTTCTCCATGCCTCAGGTCCCCAGGCAGGCCCCGAGGGGAATGGAAAATTTTTAATTGTGATTAGAACATGCTACTAAAATGTTGGCAGGCCTTTGAGGTGGAGTAGTGCTAAATTTAAGAGATGGTTTGTAGATTTTTGTCTCAGATATAGTAGTGGTTTGATTGCAGCTGAGTATTTGTCCATGAATATGAAGAGCTGCTAGAAATTGTATGTCAAATTTCTACTTGTTAACAGAAAGAAGAAATTACCTTGCTTATGTCTGAATACTGGAGAGAATTCTGAAACAATTTAGTAATGTACACTATGAAATACAGTTTAGAAGTAGAAAATAAGACTCAGTTGGAATAAGTTCGGGAATTCTGTCCTCTTTCAACTTCAGCTTTAAACCGTAATGTTACTATGTTTACACCAAGGACAGCTGCACATTCTATATTACTCCCAAATTCTGTATAGACTTCTGATCCAAGAGAGCCACGATTAACTAGGTAGGGTGGAAAGGTATCTAGAGCTTTGGAGTGGGTAGGGAAAGTCTGTATTTCGAAGGGAACCCTCTGCATATTTAGGGAGCTCTCAAGTGCTCTCTGTCTCTTTCTCTCTCTCTGTTTGTGTGTGTTTGCCTTCTCTCTAATATTGTGCCTTGTGAATTCTAGCTGCTTTGGCTTTCTCAAGCACTGAACTTTATCTCCTGAACTCAAGGAGACCAGTAGGCCCTGTTTTGGGTTCCCCTTACTTTATAGTGGTGGTGCCGAAATTCCAGACAGTAGGCTGAGGTCATTATAGGGGCCTTTTCTTTTCTTTTCCTTTTGTATGACACTGTTTTTCCAGTTTCTGAATACCACTGTTTCATATATTTTTGTCCAGTATTTAAGTGGTTTAAGGTGGAAGGGTAATTCTGGCCCTTGATGCTCCAACATGGATTAAAGCAGATATCCATCCCTGTGCCCAGTTACAGGCCAACGAAACACATCATCCAATCACAAAACCAAAATTCAAAAGGATTCAATAAATTTTACTCATGATTTTTAAAGGAAGCAGAGGTCAGGATTATATTGTACAATATGGAGAAAACCTTTTTGCAAATTCCTAAATATTTTTTTCCATTGCAGTTGCTTCAGACCCTGGGCTCTGTTAGTAGAGATCTACTCTTCCTCAATATTGCTTTGTTTCACTTGTTTATTCTCTTTTTCTCTTAAAAGTACCTCCTCATTTTCTGTGGCCAAACTTAACTCTCTTCTTCCCTTCCTATTCTCTGAATTCTATAAGATTCTATAGCCTGGCCAGCAAGACAAGACCTTTGTATTGCACTGTTTTTTCTTTCTTTCTCAAAATAGACCACAAATTCAACTTGATGTTGATTCAGTTAATAAATAGACTATTTTTTAAGAAGAGTTTTATGTTTATACAAAAATTGAGCAAAAAGTACAGAGAGTTCACACTAACCCTGTCTCGCCCCACAAACGTTCCCATCTTGCTGATGTCACCTTCTGAATTTATTTGAAAATGGTGGCAATATGTTCTTTTCTGATAATTTTAAGGATTAAGAGAATGCAAATAATATGGGGACATGCACATAATGGGTATTTAATAAAATGGTAGCTATTCTCATCATAAGCATTTTGGTTTTTAGTACTCATGTGGCCCTGATATGTCCTGTTTATGTTTGTTTGGTTTTTACATCTGTAGCAGTTAGTTATATTAGCATGGAACTATAATTTCAGTCTTTCGTAATATCTTTAAAATTTATTATTTTTAGCAATAGAAACTCCTAATTCTATGACTACTCGATTGAATGCCATGTTGAAAATATTTGAGAAACAGTCAAATATGTTAGAGAGGTAAGATTTTAATAAAATAACTCTATATTCTTTTTTCCTTTTTTGCATTTTCTTTTTATAAAAAAATTAACAGCTAACATTAAATGTTTTTATCGTGTATAACATAAAATTAATATATATTTATTGTAGAAATATTGGAAAAATAAAGAAGAAAATAACACATCTGCCAAAAAACTTTGAGTTCTTACATCAACTTTTATGATTATACGTATGTGTGATTTCTAAATTTAAAATTAAAAAACACACAGAATGTAAAATGGAATGCAAGTATCCACTATGGAAAAACAGTAGGTTGGTTTCTGAAAAATTTAAAAATAGAATTACCATATGATTCAGCAATTATATTTCTGTGTATATACCCTCAAAAATTGAAAGCAGAATCTTGAAGAGGTATTTGTACACTCATATTCATTGTACACTCATATTCATTCATTATTCACAGCAGCTAAAAGATGGAAGCAACACAGGTGTCCAATAGTGGATGAATGAATAAACAAAATGTGGTACATATAGACAAAAGAGTATGATTCAGTCTTAAAAAGAAAGGAAATTCTGACATGCTACAACATGGATGAACCTTGAGGACATTATGCTAAGTAAAATAAGCCAGTCATAAAAAGACAAATACTGTATGATTTCTTTTACATGAGATACCTAGAATAGTCAAATTCACAGAGATATAAAGTAGAATGATGATTGCCAGAGGGTGCGGGGAGGGAGAAATGGTGAATTATTGTTTAATGCTTTTGGAGCTTTAGTTTTACATGATGAAAAGGGTTCTGGAGATTGGTTGTAAAATAATGTGAATGCAATTAACACTATTGAATAATATACTTTAAATGGTCAAGATGGATTTTATGTTATGTGTATTTTACCATAGCTTAAAAAATTACAAGGGTACAAAATGTTTGTGTATAAACTTTTAAATTGCAAACTCATAGAATTCTTTTTTTTAAGTTAATAATTTATTTTGTGCTTTTGTCTTTAATTGACAAATAAAAATTGTATGTATTTATGGTATATACACTATGGTGTTTAGATAAATGTACACATTGTGGAATGGCTAAATCAAACTATGTAATATATCCATCATCCATCATCCTCACATACTTATCATTTTGTTTTTGGTGGTAAACACATTTATAATTTACTCTCTTGGCAATTTGCAGGTCTACAATACATTATGATTGAAGTATAGTCACCATGTTGTATAATAGATCTTTAAAACTCATTTCTCCTGTCTAACTGAAACTTTGTACTCTTTTAACATTTCCCCACTCTCACCCTACCCCCAGCCCCTAGCAATCACCATTCTACTTTGTTTCTATAAGTTTGACTTTTTTAGATTCCACATATTAGTGAGATCATGCAATAGTTGTCTTTCTGTTTTTGACATATTTCATTTAGCATAATGTCATTCAGGTTCATCCATGTTGTTACAAATGACAGGATTTCCTTCTTTTTAATGGCTGAATAGTAGTTAATTGTGTGTGTGTATATATAGATACATACATATATATATATATACATATATATGTCTCACATTTTCTTTATCTGTTCATTCATCGATGGATACTTAGGTTGATCTCATATCTTGGTTATTGTGAATCATACTACAGTGAACATGGGAGTGCAGATATCTCTTCGACATATTAATTTCCTTTTCTTTGTATATATACTCAGAGGTGGAATTGCTTGATCATACAGTAGTTCTATTTTTAATTTTTTTTTTTTTGTCAGTGGCTGGTCAGCACAGGGACCTCAACACTTGATTGTGATGTTGTCAGCACCATGGTCTTCCAAGTGAGCTAACCAGCCAGTCTCTATTTTTATTTTTTGAGGAACCTCCATGCTGTTTTCTATGAAGCTGTACTAATTTACAATTTCACCAGCAGTGTACAAGAGTTCCATTTTCTCCACATCCTTGCCAACACTTTTGTATATTTGATAATATCTTTTGTATATTTGATAATAGCTAGTTTAGTGTAAACATAACTTTTACTTGCACCCAGAAACCAAAAATTTGTGTAACTTGCTTTATTGCGGTGGTCTGGAACTGAACCTGCAATATCTATGAGGTATGCCTGTAGTGTATGAACTCACTTACATATGGAATGTAAAAATAATAAAACTTACAGAAGCAAATAGAATGGTGGTGGAAAAGGTCTAGGGGGATGGGGAAATGAGGAGGTATAGGTTAAAGTGTACGAAGTTTCAGTTATACAAGATAAATAAGTTCTGAAGATCTAGTGTACAGCACAGTGCCTATAGCAAACAATACTGCATTGTATACTTAAGATTTTTGAAGACAGTAGATCTTATGATAATTGTTCCTACAAGAACAGCAGCAGCAGCAGCAGCAATCACAACAAACAATCATAATAATAAAGGGCGCAGAAGGAAACTTTGGGAGGTGATGGATATGTTCATGTTGGTGACGGTTTTATGGGTATACATGTACCCCCAAACTCATTGAGGTGTATACAATATATATGTATAGCTTTTTATATGTTAATCATACATCAATAAAGTGGTTTGAAAATATAGGATACATATAGAAAATTGGTTTGTATTTAGTTATAGTGCATGAATTCTATACTAGTAGGATAGGGCAATCATGCTGGTCTTTGGGGAAGATGGTAGACATACTCTTTGGGGTCTTGTCAGTCAATTGTCTAGTTGTTGGTGTGTGGGTAGTGGGAAATGGACAAGTAAACATAGACCCACAGGGCCTTGAAAAGTTCTTTTCTCAATTATGGGACAAATTGAGAACCTAATTAGAGATTGGCTTGTAGGATGGTTTGTGAAGGTGTAATTTCTTTTTGGTGAACAGAATGCTAACAGCTAGGGTCCAGTCTTGGGAGTGAAGTTGTCACCTTTGGCAAGAACATTATCCGTCACCAGAATCATGTCGTCCTGACAGGAAAGCAGGCCTATTAAGAATTTCAACATGAATTTTTTTTTCTAGGGAGGGATAGAGGTCAGTAGTGAGGGTAGTAGACTGTCCTGCCTTTCAAACTGTCTAACCCAGGTGCATGTATCACAAATAGTTATGTTACATCAGAATTAGAGTCATCACGGGGCCGGCCCGGTGGTGCACTGCTACAGTGCGCCACTTGAGAGCGCGGTGGCGCTCCCCCCAAGGGTTCGGATCCCACATACAGACCGGTTCCCGCTCACTGACTGAGCGAGGTGTGGGCGCAGCACCAAGGGTTGCGATCCCGTTGCCGGTCCCGGTCCGGTACGGGCGCGACACTGAGGGTTGCGATCCATTGCCGGACACGAAAAAAGACAAAAAGGAAAAAAAAAAAAAAAAAGAATTAGAGTCATCACAATTCTAGAATAGCAAATTCACAGTCTTGACTTAAGTGGTCAGTTAGGGTACTGGCAAGGCAAAGGCATCCATTTAGTTACAAAATAATGACAGTTTCCAAATTCACACCATTCATACAACTAAGTTTAATGTTGCTTGCAGACCCAAATGTGAGAAAATAAAACCAGAAATATGGAGAAGACATTTAACTCTATAAAAATTAAAAACATCTTGTTCAAAATTGAAGCAAAGTTAAAAGATAAGCAAAGGACTGAAAGAAAATATTTGTCTGTATACAATAGAAAAAAGTACTATAAGTTGTAATAATAAGAATATATAACTCCATAAAAAAGGCAAAAACGTAGGAAAAACAGGCAAAGTGTATAAACAGATAATTCAAGATAGAGACAAAAAATGACCAATAAACATTTTAATGCTCAGTCTTGCAATCAGGAAAGTGTGAAGCAAAACAATGAGAATGTTTTTTTGCCTCCCCAGTGTAACAAAAATTAAAAGTTTTCTAATATCAATTATTGACAGGGAAGTAGTGTGATAAATACTTATACAGTGCTAGTAAATAGAAATTGCCCACTTTCAAAGACAATTTAGCAGTTTATTTAATAATAGCCACAAAAATGTATACCATATTACACAGTAAATCTCTTTTTATCCATGCTAGAGAATGGAATATACATATGCTTAGGAAGGCATATAAAAGAAAATTTACAGTATTGCGTCATTTTGATAAGAGCTAAACTAGAAAGGATCTCAGTTTTTGTTAGTAGGAGTACAGCTCAATAATCTATGGTAAAGGATTATACGGGAATGCTATGAACAACTGTATGACAACAAATTAGATAACTTAGATGATATATATTTCTAGAAAGATACAAACTAAACTGATTCAAGAAGAACTAGAAAATCTAACTGAAAATGTAAGAAGTAAAAAGATTTAATTTGTACTTAATATATTTTCCAAGATATACTTAGGCAGATGGTTTGCTTGTGAATTCTATCAAATATTTAATGAAGAATTAATACTAGCTCTTCACAAACTTTTCCAAAGAATAAAAGAATATTTCACACTTCTCAATTCACTCTAGTACTCTGATACCAAAATCAGACAATATTGCTAGAAAATAAATCTACAGACCAATATTTGTTATGAATATGAACACAAAAATCCTCAACAAAATGCTAGCAAACTGAATCCAGCAACATGTAAAAAAGATTATACACCATGAACACGTGGGATTTATTTCAGGAATGATGGTTGGTTTAAAATGTAAGTATCAATTAATGTAACACATAATATTGATTGACTAAAAGAGATAAAAACCCCATATGATCAGCTCTCTGGACTTAGTAAAAGCATTTGACAAACTCCAATATATTTTTAGGATAAAAATATGCCATTAACTAGGAATAAAAGGAAACTTCCTTAATTTGGTAAATGCTGTCTACAAAAACTTACAGCTAACATTTAACTTAATGGTAATTTCTCCGTAAGGTCAGGATCAAGATAGCATGTTCATACCACTTCTATTCATCATTCTAGGAGATTCTAGCCAGGGCAATTACAGAAGAAAAGGAAATATAAGTGTATGGATTGGAAAGGAAGAAGTAAAACTACCTTTATTTGCAGATGACATGATCTTGGATATAGAAAATCCTAAGAGATCCACTAAAAACTGTTAGAAGTAATAGATGAATTTATCAAGGCTGTGATATACAAGATTAATGAAAATCAATTGCCTTTCTATACACTAGCTATTATGGGTTGAATTGTGTCCCCCCAAAAGATATATTTAAGTTCTAACCCCCTACTACCTCAGAGTGACCTTATTTGGAAATAGGGTCATTGCAGATGTAATTAGTTAAGACAAGATCATCTCGGAGTAAGATGGACCATTAATCCAATATGACTGGTGCTTTTATAAAAATTTAGGAGACAGATATGCACAGAGGAAAGACTGACATATAAAGGTGGAGGCAGAGATTGGAGTTATGCTGCGACAACCAGAAGAATGCCAGGGACTGCTAGAAGCTGGAAGAGTCAGGGAAGCTTCCTTCCCTAGATATTTCAGAAGGAGCATAGTTCTGACAACTTCATTTTGGATTTCAAGTCTCCAGGCTGTGGAAGAATAAATTTTTGTTATTTTATGTTACCCAGATTGTGGTACGTTGTTACTTAAGCCCTAGGAAATTAATACACTAGCAATGAACATTTCAAAGGTGGAACAAAGACAATTCCATTTACAAAAGCACCAAGAGAATGTGAATGAATTTAACAAAAGAAGTGCGAGACTTATGCACTGAAACTACAAAACATCACTGAAAGAACTTAATAAATGGATAGATATTTCTTCTTTATAGATATTAGACTTAATAATCTTAAAATGGCAATACATCCTAAATTGACCTGCAGATTCAATGCAATTTTTATCAAAATCCCAGCTGCTGTTTTGCACGACTCGACAAGCTGATTCTAAAATTCATGTGGAAATGCAAGGAACCCATAAGAGCCCCCAAAATCTTAACAAGACAAAGTTAGAAGATTTAACTGATTATAAAACTTAGTACAAGGCAATCAAGGCAATACAAAGGAATCAAAACAATGTTGTACTGGCATAAGAATAGACATATAGGTCAATGGATAGAGCTGAATGTCCAGAAATAAGCCCTTACATTTATGAAATAAACCCTTACATTACATTTATGGCCAATTGATTTTCAAGACAGGATAATTCAATGGAGGGAAGAATAGTCTTTTAAATAAATGGTACTTAAACAACTGATTATCCACATGCAAAAGAACGAAGTTGGATCTTTCTTTATGTCATGCACTAAAATTACCTTAAAGTTATCAAAGATCTAAATTTCAGAGCTATAACTATAGACCTCTTAGAAGAAACATACTTAGGAGTAAATCTTTGTGATCTTAGATTAGGCAATGGTTTCTTAGATATGATAGAAAAAGCATAATCAACAACAAAAAATAAATTCAACCTTATCAAAATTAAAAACTTCTGTGCTGCAAATAATACCATCAAGAACATAAAAAAGACATCTTATAGAATGTGAAAAATATTCACAAATCATATATCTGATAAGGAACTTGTATCCATAATATTTATATAAAAACTCTTTCACCTTAATCATCAAAAGATAAATAATCCAATTTTAAAATGAGCAAGGGATCTGAACAGGTGTTTTCCCAAAGAAGATATACAAATGGCCAATAAGCACATGAAAAGATGCTTAACATTATTAGTAATTAGAGAACTGCAAATCAAAACTATAATGAGGTACGACTTCATACCCTCTAGAATGGCTATAATAAAAAAGACAGACAACAACAATTGTTGGCAAGGCTGTACAGAAATTGGGACCCCTAGTCACTGCTGGTGGGAATTTAAATTGTGCATCTTCTTTGGAAAACTCAGTTTTCAAAATGTTAAATATTGAACTAACGTATGATCTAGAAATTCTGTTCCTAAGTTTATACCTCAGAGAAATGAAAACATGTCCACATAAAAACTTGCACATGAATGAACTTGCATTATTCATAATAGCCCCAAAGTGGGAACAATCCAAATGTCCATAGATTGATGAATGGATTAAAAAAATGGGGTGTATTCATATGATGGAATGTTACTTGGCAGTAAAAATGAACAAAGTACTGATGCATGCTACAATGAGGATGAACCTTGAAAACATTATGCTAAGTGTAAGAAACCAGTCTCAAAAGACCACGTATTGTATGATTTTATTTATATGAAATATCCAGAATAGGCAAATCTATAGAGACAAAGTAGATGACTGGCTTACAAGGCTGGGCAGTGCAAGGAGGAAAGGTATGGGATTTCTTTTTGCAGGTAACTAAAATGTTCTAAAATTAGACAGTGGTGATGGCTGGCTAACTTCGTGAATATATTAAAAAGCCATTGAATATATTAAAAACCATTGAATTGTACACTTTAAAAAAGTGAACTGTATGCTATATAACACAATTTTTAAAAAGTGAGTTGTGTGCTATATAACATCTCAATAAAGCTGTTATAAATTCTGATTTAATAAAAAAACAACTCATTTGTCAGGAAAAATCTATGGTTTAACTGTGCTATGGACAGGTATCAGCAAACTGTGGCCCATGAGTTAACTCTGGCCTGCAGCTTCTTTTTGTAAACAAAGTTTTATTGGAACACAGCCACACCCATTCATTTACCTATCATCTATAGGTGCATTTGCAGAGTTGGTTAGTAGAGACAAAAACCTTTAGGCCTGCAGAATCTAAAATATTTACTTTCTGGCTCTTTACAAAAAATGTTTGCCAATTCCTGCTATGGAATTATAAATAGTGTTTAAAAGGAGTGAGAAAGATCTATGTGTACTGACATAAATAGATCTCAGATATTAGGTTAAGGTGAAAAAAGTAAGTTGGCAGAAATACAACCCACTAACAAATATTATAAAATTGAATAGGTACATGCAGTATTATATAAATGCATGGAGCAATTTCTAGAAAGGTAAGAGCAATCCATTAATATTTGTATTGGATTTTTGGAGTAGCAGTCAGAATGTACTCTAACTTTTGTTTGTATGTTATTTTAAACTCTTTACAAAGAGAATGTATAAGTGTGTTACATAAATAAAAATATAAATGTAAAATTAGAATACATTGGGCCGGCCCTGTGGCGCACTTGAGAGAGTGCGGCGCTGGGAGTGCAGCGACGCTCCCACCATGGGTTCGGATCCTATATAGGACTGGCCAGTGAGCTCACTGGCTGAGCGCGGTGCGGACGACACCACACCAAGGGTTGTGATCCCCTTGCCAGTCACGAAAAAGACAAAAAAAAAAAAAAAAAAAAAAAAAAAAGAATACATTATAAATATCTTTGGTTTCTTTTTCAGA